AGGGAAACTACTATAGTAGTTTCCATTGTCTTTGCCATTATCCCAATGTAAGCCCAATATACTACAGTAGTTTCCATTTTATTTTCCATTATCCCAAAATAAGCCCAATATACTACAGTAGTTTCCATGTTATTTTCCATTATCCCAAAATAAGCCCAATATACTACAGTAGTTTCCAAATTTATTTTCCATTATCCCAATGTAACCCCTATATATAAGCATGGCACATTGTTCTGTCGCACTCGAAAACTTTCAAAGTCTTTTAAGTTTGTACCCTTAATGTTTGTCTCCTAAGTTTTGGGTCCCAAATACCCTTATTGAGGGCCATATTCCATGGTTTAGGGACCCAAAGCCCAAGGGTACAAACCCTAAGGGCCCAAAGGAAAACTCCCTGAAACTTGAAGCTGGCTTTGTGCCGCTGCATGAAGCAGGTTCTGGATTGAGAAACCGTCACCAAGCGGTCCCCAACGGAAGCGCTGCCAGAGCCTTTGCACAGGGAGTTTTCCTTTGGGCCCTTAGGGTTTGTACCCTTGGGTTTTGGGTCCCTAAACCATGGATCATGGCCCTGAATAAGGGTATTTGGGACCCAAAACTTAGGGGTACAAACATTAAGGGTACAAACTTAAAGTCCTTGAATTGCACTGGCTGTCCCTGCGCGCGTTCCAGCTCTCATGGGTGCACCTGCCCTCAGATTGATGAAGATACCGGGTACCCGCGCGTGCTGCAGGAGGCTACTGGGGCTGTCTTCAATTTCGTTTGAGCCATTATCTTAAGGCGAGGGATTACGTAGGGGAGCATTGTAGTGGTTATTGAGGGGATACTCGGATTTTAGACTATAGCTCATTTGACATTCCATCCTGCGGCAGAACTTCAGCTGATGTCAGGCCTCGTCACTGCAGGAGCGCAGACAAAGCCTTCCCCTCAGCCCTCATGTCGTGAAATTCAACAGCTTGATAGCTGACGTTCTCGCGTTTCGATTTGATCACATTACTGAAGACTTGTCAAGCGCCACTGGGCATTTTGGGTTCCAAATCAGTGTTCACATTTGCCTGCTGCCTTATGGCGGCGTGTGGGTTGACGAAAGACTTCCGCAATCCCTGCCATCTTCAGCTTATGGCAGGCTTTGTTTTGGCCCTTATCTCAGTGGTGGATGTCATCAGCCAGAGCCTCAGACTTTCGAAGCCTTGGGCAGTAGGGAGTGGAAGAATGGATCCTATAGTAGGCGGTTCCCCGTGTCTTGCTCAGTCCCTTACTAACAACCAATAAGGATTAAGGTTCAGGGCTTAGGGTCGGAGGTTCGTGTAAAAGCCTGCTGCAGGTGGCAACTCTGGTTTGCTTTTGGACAAAGCAAATTGATGGTGATGTCAAGGGGTTCCTCAAGCCCTACATGAGGGTTTCCCAAAACTACGGGCACCTGAATTGAAACGACAGACAGCACACCTTTTGCTGCCCATCAGGAAATGAAGACGTATCTCACAATCCGGTACACATAGACCTAAAGCCATGGCCTCAACACTTTGAAGGTACTAGAACCTGAGTAGCTCCAAAACGGGGAACATCCGAATGACTCCAAAGATGTCCCTAAGCTTCCATAAGCTGTTGACTTCCTAATCCTGAAGACCTGTATGCATGCACAAATCACAGGCGAAGCTTCTAGCTCCTGTACCCCCGAGGCAGTGCTGTCATGATGGGCGTGGCCTTCAAATTTGCGTATCGCGCAGTTGGAGCGTCACTATACTGCCTTGGCATCCAGGCATCTCCACCTGAGATCAAGACAGCAGTTGTGGCAAAGTAGGAATAATTTACCAATCGCACTGCCAAGAGACTAGAAGTGTGTAGGCCAAGATGGTTACCAATTGAGTAGTATCTTATTTGGGGATAGTATGGTACCTAATATGTAGATTATATCCTCCCTTTGGAGTAAAGTATTTCATATAAGGAAAATATTCTTACTGGGTTCAACCACCAAAAAAATGCTAATCAATTGTGCTACTTTGCGAAAGCCAAAGTACCTGTTGCTGGGCCCCACAACTGCCTTCCCTAAATGGGTAGTTCCCAAAATTAGGGTCCTTTTCGGTACCCCCAAATATTAGGTGCCGTAATATGAGCGACATAACTCTAGAAACTACCCTAATCCTAAATTCCTAAACCTTTGCAGGCAATATCCCATATGCTCTCTTCCATCATCCTGGTCGTGCGTTTGGTGGGAGAACTTGGTGTGTGTGGCCCCCAGCCTTGGGAAAACTCGTGTGCTCAGCTTAACCCTTTCCCCCTAATATCAACCCCCCCCCCCC